GGCCAAGATAGGGACAATGACCAAGAAGGGCTGAAGCCCAGGCAGCCGGGCCACACTGAGGTGGGACGAGGGCACAGCCAGCACACACCTGTAGCTGCGGCTGGTCCATCTCCTCCCAGAAGCCTCAGGAGGCCCTCCGGCCCCAAGGAAGTCTCAGCATCAACCTCTCTGGGCACTGGGAGTTACTCTGCCAGGAGGGAGACAGTGGCTGCACCACCGCACACCCACCCACCCACCAAGCCCCACACGGGGCAATGTGGGGGAGGGGTCAGGGCCCAGGCACACCCCCAAGCCCTCCCTTTCACAGGAGACAGCCCCAGGAGGAGAGTCTGGGAAGCAGGGAGGCCCCCTCCTCAAAGCCCAGCACTCCCCCGGTCCCAGCCCCTTGCCAAGTTGCTCCTGGACACCAAATGGACCCAGTCCCACTTGTCGCTCTTTGCCTTTCCCCTGCCCGCCCCCTGCTGGAGCTGTGAGAGGGCAGGCAGAATGGGGCAGCCCAGCCAGGCCCAGAGGCCTGGGGCACAGCCCCAGCTCCAACCCCGGTCCCCCCAGGACAAAGCCTGCAAGGCCACTGGGGCCAGGCCTCTGCAAGAGGCCTGGTGCTCCCCCAAATCCCGGGTGGGTCTTGGCCTTGGGCCAAGATTCTCACTGCTGACCCCTAGGACAGGGTGGGCAGCTGGTAGAACGGGCCAGGCCTAAGGTGAGCTGGGGGTGCTGCCCTGGGCTGGGGGCAGGGTGGGGCAGGGGCTGCTTGGGGTGGAAAGAGGGTTTGAGAGAGGGAGAGGAGAGGGAGGAAGGAGCAGTGGGGAACGGGGGCAGGGTTAGCCCTGGAGTAAGTCCCAAGCTGAGGTCTGGGTCCCAAAGGCCAAAGGCCAGTACCACCTGGATCTGTCCTCACCTGTGCAAGGGGCGGGGAGCCAGGTGGGACTGAGCGCCTTGTCCAATGTTCTGGAATCCCAAGGTGTGGGGTGCAGCCTGTCAGCACAAGCAGCAGAGCAGGTCCCCCAGAGCAGCCCACAGCCCTAAGATGCTGCTCCCCTGAGCCTGCGTGGGGCTGGAGGGTGTGGAGGCTGCTGGCTGGGCAGGACTCGACCTGGATGCACCCCCAAAGGAGACCAGACAGGCCCAGACCACACCCTCCACACACACACCATGACCATCACCACATATCCCAGGCAGCACAAAAGGCTCTCCCAGCCCAAGGGGGCTTTTCATTTTCGGAAACTAAATGTGGAAGGGGGGGGGGCATGGCCCTGCCCAGTTCTGGCGCCAGGACAGGTCCTTGAAAGGCGCCCTCAGAAATCAAGGAATCAGGGCTTGAGAGTTTGTCCAACAAAAGTTGGGACTCCTCTTGCCCCAGCCCAGGAGGCAGCAACCCCAAGCCCCCAACCCTCTCAGGAGACTTGCCAAGTGGCCTTCTCTCCCTAGACTCTCCACCCCCCACCCCAACAAAACACAAAAAAAGGAAACAACTTTGCTAATGCAGAGGTGCTCTTCGGGAAGACAAAGGGGATTCCACCTCCATCAC